TTACAAAACCGAAAATGGTGCGGGACCCGTATGTAGGAGCTATACAAAACTTGGTCCTGAATAGAAATGTTTCCGCAAATGTGTTTTACCCTTTCAATATCACGGAATTATATATGATATGAATGATATACGATACTACAATGGGTATGGATATATACTAATACCACATGAGAAAATACCGAACAATAAGAGTATATCATTATATGGGGCTACCCGGACCAATTTGCACCAATATTGATAATTTTTTGTAAACAGGTTTTCTTCATCCAAAATAAAACATTACAGCACTTCGGCTGAAGCACTCCCTAAAATACCGAACTCCTCAAAGTACCGAATATTGTGGGTACCTCAAAGATTTAACCAATATTGACAATTTCAGTACGATTCATTCTACCAAATATACAACCAAACGTGCCCAAATCCCCCACAGTATCGAAAAAGGTGGATTACTATTACATGGGGGATATTTGAAAGCTTGGGCGAACATAACATTGCAGCCAAATACCGAATATTAAGGGATGCCGTTAGATGGGGATATCCGAATACTTGAGTCAATATGGAAAATTCTAATTAGGGAGAATTTCTTCCCAATAAGTATCCCTAATATTAGGTTTGGGAAAAAGAAATCCATTAGACCGGTGGAACGATCGAATTTTACAGGCATGTCGTAACATCGTCCAGGAGCTAAAAATTAAACCATTCACACAAAGCTGGATTCAAAAATAAGCTCAATGGTTGGATGCCTCACCAATTAACAGAAAACAAGAGAATGAAATTGTGATTAAGTGTTGAACATGCGAGAGAGAGATTTTGAGCTGAATAATAAAACAAGTAAAAAAGCGTTAAGTTCGGCCGGGCCGAACTTTGGATACCCTCCACCATAAAAATACTGACCATTTTTTGAAATGAAAACATAGGGAAAATACATATAACGATAATTCTTCCAATCGATTGCTGTAAACCAAATAGAAAATTCAGCAATTTCAATGAGGGTTTTCCTAAAATCTCAAAACCCTAAAATTTTGACATATATTATTAACGCATGGTATGGTGAAACATGTGTATAAAATCCTGAAAATATTCCAATTTCGAGGGCAATATTATATATGAGGCATACTTAAGCGGGACCAATATTGACAACATTGTGTAGGAATTAGCAACTACTTGGTGTTTTCATTATATAAGGGGTTAGGCCTAATTAAGGCCGATGCAGCTCAAGTTCCGAGCAAATATTTTAGTTTTGAATTCCAATACCGTCCATCACGCTAAATATTAAATAGGTAGGATGTTTTATATAGGACCTGGTCCTAAATGCGGGTCAATATAGTTAATTCTCAAACCTCACGTTTTAGTTTTTAGGTCAAGATAAAAATGATTACAACATATGGCTAAATCGACTAAATCGTTTTAGAATTCCATACTATGTGAACTGAAAATTTCGTCTGCCGAATAACCCCCCTACTATGGTGGAATACAGCTACATGGGATAACCCCAACACCCGCAAAACATCAGCTAACTATTTTAAAATAAAAAAAGGGGGTTATAAGGGGACTACCCCTAAAAGGGGGTGAATATTAATAATTTTTGGTAGGGAGATTTGTTACCATATACGACTACAAAATACCAAATTTCAGCGAAATCGGTTGAAAAACGCGCTCAAGAACCCCAAAATACCGCAAAATTGGGGGTACCCTTATATGGGGGCTACCAGAAAAAGTGGACCTATATTTATAATTTTTTGTGGAGATATTAAGTACCCAATAAGAACCCTATGTAGCAAATTTCAGCGAATTCGGTTGAAAACCGCGCTCAAGAACCCCAAAATACCGAAAATTTGGGGGTACCCTTATATGGGAGCTATGCCTAAACGTGGACCGATAAAGCCCATCTTCGAACTTGACCTGCCTGCAGACAAAAGACGACTCTATGCAAAATTTTGGCGATCTATCTCCATTCGTTTAGACGCTAGAGTGATTACAACAGACAGACGGACAGACAGACAGACAGACAGACGGACAGACGGACAGACGGACAGACGGACATGGCTATATCGTCATAGAATTTTACGCTGATCAAGAATATATATACTTTATAGGGTCGGAAATGATTATTTCGATGCGTTACAAACGGAAAAACAAAACTAATATACCCTCCATACTATGGTGGAGGGTATAAAAATGGAATGGATCGAATTTCCATCTGCGAAGCCTTGACCAAACGGAATGAGATACTCTTATTTTTATAAACGGATGGTGACTGGAAATGAGAAATGGATCACATACGATAACCCTATGCAAAAACGATCGTGGTCAAAGAGCGGTAAAGCACCTCAAACGGTGACCAAACCAGGCCTAACGACCAGGAAGGTTCTGCTATGCATTTGGTGGGACTGGAATGGGATTATTTATTATGAGTTGCTTTCATATGGCCAAACTCTAAATTCTGATCTCTACTGCCAACAACTGTACCGTTTAAAGATAGCAATTGGCCAGAATTGGCCAACAGGGGAGGTGTCGTGTTTCACCAGTAGGCCTATTCTGTAAATTTTAACAACATTCGATATTTTTTAAATTTCTTTTGTTATTGTAAAAACAATAAACCAAACAAATGAAATTGTTGTAAAATAGACAATATCGAATGTTGTTAAAAAGTTACAGAATACAGTGGCAGGACAACGCTAGGCCATCTTATGAGTAGTACAAATGTATGTGCAAATATAAAATGTATATCTTAAATCGTGGAGGGAGCAACAAAACTCACTCATAAACATCAAATTCAGTTTTGTAATGTTACCCTATGTGTGCTCTGATAAATACCAAGATGTTACAAAAATATATACAATTCACCTTATGATGGTGGGTATAAAAACAACCTAAAATGCCGAAAATTATACATCAAAAATATTGTTAGGCAAGACAACGTTTGCCGGGCCCGCTAGTAAGGGATAAAAATATTCTCCATCAATTTTTAGCATAAGTCACTGAACAAGAGAAATGTGTATATATAATGCATATACCGAATATATAATCATACAATGTGTCAATGTTCCCTCGAACGAACATACTCATGTCTTTCTGCAACCTATGATAAATGTAATTTCATTCGGGCAGATTTAGTGTCGACTACGTACCATGGGACAAATTTATTTAAAACGATTTATAGCAAAATTGATACACGATATTCCTTACGCCGCACTGTTAAAAAAATAATTTCAATCAGCCACCTCTTCGAAATCCATATGAAAGCTATGGCTGCATCTGCACCAATTTTAACAAAACCCAGTAACGTCATTCAAGTCTCAATTTGATACGTTGTGCAAAATTTCGTGTTAATCGGACAAACATTAGGAATTTGGTGCACCATTTATGTAAAATTGGACAAAAATATATATGGGAGCTATATCTAAATCTGAACCGATTTTCACGAAACTCAGCACACATCATTTTAGGCTTAATTCAGTATGCTGTGCCAAATTTCGTGCAAATCGAAATATATTTAGGGACTTTGGCGCACCATTTACCTTAAATCGGAAGAAAATATATATGGGAGCTATATCTAAATCTCGGCCGATTTTCACGATACTTGGCAGACATCATGCTAGACTTTATTCCGTACGCTATACACCATTTACTTTAAATCGGACGAAAATATATATGGAAACTATATCTAAATCTGAACCGATTTTTGGAAACTTAACACACATCATTCTAGACCTAATTTAATACGCTATGCCAAATTTCGTGCAAATCGAAAGATATATAGGTTCTTTGGTGGCCCATTTACATTAAATCGGACGAAAATATATATGGGAGCTATATCTAAATCTGAACCCATTTTCAGGAAACTTAACACACATCATTCTAGACCTAATTCATTACGCTGTGTCAAATTTCGTGCAAATCAAAAGATAAATAGGGACTTTGGTTCACCATTTGCCTTAAATCGGACGAAAATACATGTGGGAGCTATATCTAAATCTGAACCGATTTTCATGAAACTTAGCACACATCATTCTAGGCTCAATTCAGTACGCTGTGCCAAATTTCTTGCAAATCGAAATATATTTAGGGACTTTGGTGCACCATTTACCTTAAAACGGACGAAAATTTATATGGGAGCCATATCTAATCTCGACCGATTTTCACGAAACTTGGCAGACATCATTCTAGACTTTATTCCGTATGCTATACACCATTTAACTTAAATCAGCCGAAAATATAAGAGCTATATCTAAATCTGAACCGATTTCCTCGAAACTCAGCACACATCATTCTAGGCTTAAGTCAGTTCACTGTGTTAAATTTCGTGCAAATCGAAAGATATATAGGGACTTCCGTGAACCATTTACATTAAATCGGACGAAAATATATATGGGAGCTATATCTAAATCTGAACCAATTTCAATAGGGTTTGTCCTTGGGCCGAATAAAGGAGCTGTGCCACGTTTCATTTAATTCGAATGAAAAATGCGACCTGTACTTTGTTTACAATTTAACATGGATAGACGAACGGACATGCAATAATCGACTCAAAAAGTGATTCTATGCATATTCTCAAAAGGAACCATGTGTCTATCTCGTTTCCTTTTGCCTGTTACAAACATATGCACAAAGTGCGGTGAAGTGTATAATGACTTTCAGAACCAGTCTCAGGCAGTGCCAGAGGATATTTTGATGGTTATAGCACCAATGAAAGCCTTGATATGTTCTCTGTATAGCTTCACCGAAACCCCTATATGTGATATTTATTTTTGTTTTATAAACCTACAGCTCTTAATATGGCAAAAGAATGGGATCTCTTACCCATAGTAAGGTGGGGGCATCCTCATTTACATTTACCCCTAGAGTTTATTAGTTAAGTGTTGGAAAAGTTTAGATTTTTGACATATAGTATATCTTATCTTGTGACTGTCGCGTTGTTAAGAAATTGAACCCAAACATACATAAACCGCCATACAATTCTAATTACAAATGTCTGAGTATATAAAATGTGCCCTTGGAATTACTAAAACAATTGTCTTGATGTTAATGGGGTGTTACATTAACATCCAGAACCGCAACGAAAAAAATACTTAAACACATATCCAATTTTAATTTCATAAAAAAAAACGGAAATATGGTCTACCACGGTTTGAGTTCTGAAAATAAAAAAGTATGGCAAAGTAAATACCCATGTCTTGTATTGTTATTTAATGTTGACAGCTTCTTTCGAAAGAAAAACAGAAAAAAACAATCATCCACCCTTTGCTTTCATTGTTATTGTAGTTGTTTTTGTTTTTAACAATATAAAATAAATTAATTTTTAATTAACCTTTGCTAATTTGAAATTAATGAACAAAGAAAAGGTCAACCAACGGTGCGAAGCTACAATACAATTATGTAATTGCGTTGAGAGAGGGAGGAATGAAAAAAGTGAGAGGTTTAAGTGAACCTTAAATAAATTTTATTAGGCCTAATTATAAAACCATACTTTGCTTTATATCGGTGTGTCTGGCCGACCGACCACCCAAATCAAAATACAATTTGTTTCCCCAAACCAACAACCACCAGCTCTTTCGTCGAGGCAACAGCAGTTCATTAAAGCAAGCATGTGGTCAACCAGTCAGTCAGTCAGTCAGTCAGTGAAATTAAAGTTACTTTGGCCGGAGAACTTTGTTTTTCTCCAATAAGCTTGTCACTCTGTGCTCTGTTGGGTTGTTGTCCTTGTTATTTTTTGTTGTACTGTAAGTGTGTAACAAATGTGCAAACTACATTAAACACCTCGTCGCAGCCACACACACTCATACATACATACAACAACATATCGTAACTGAAAGGCATCCCATGTGGATACAAATAATCCTTCCCTTGTCATATCCCTATGGTCAACTAAAATAAATACAAGTCAGTAAAATTCACGATAAAGTCGATTAAGCCGACTCATATGTTACCTATAACAATAATCGGTTATTTTTGTCTGTTGAATTAAGTCATTCTTAGACCATTTACAGTTCAATTAACCTTATACCTATTTCGCCATACCTATCATCAAAACATAACCTCACCTAACCTATAAAATCGGAAAATGGTTACTCCAAAGAGTTACAAAGCGAACGTAGTATTTATCACATCACATTTTGTATCATGCTGGAAAATATATTGACTTTTTCCCAACAATAATAACAACAACAGCACACACAAAAAACATAATGTATATGTGTGACTTTGTTATACATGATTAACTGGGAGGCATAAAACTCGTGCCTTAACCAAAATCTACGTCTACGGGAATAAAACCAAACGGTCTCCAACAGAAATAAAAACAACAACAACAAAAACGAAACAACCAAACAAACAACAACAAAAATACATCAAAATAAATGCTATAAACTTTGCATGCCGCCATATAATTAATAACGGTAATATATTTTGCATATGCCAGGGCACGGTGTGTGGTTGGCTCCCTTACCATTATGGGCTGCCACTATTCTCCGAAAGAAACGGGTGAAAAAAAAACTAAACGAAAATACTCTCCACGTTATGCCAAACCAGCAGTTTGCTCACACACCATAGTAAAGTAGTGACTTTGGCCCCCATTGCCAGTCGTCGTGCTGTCCTTTGTCCCATTCAAAAAGCGGATTGAAGTTGCATGAGCTTAAAGCATTGCCAAAAACTGTTGAGCCCCCCTCACACGACCAGAGCATAACTCTTTTATCGTATTTTGTGCATCGTGCCGCTGATTTTTTGATGCATTCTACATTATTTGTGCACAGTGGTTGGGAAGGAAAAATGTGTTTATACATAACGATAACATATTAAAGGAATATATTTTTACTATATTTTTATCGAGAGAAAAGAAAAAAACATACTTTCAGAAAAAATAGAAAGAACAAAAAAAGTGAGCGTGAGCATATCGAGATGTACATGAGTCAGAATGAAGTCCGGAAATTTTACCAATGAGTAAAACATCAAACCGAAGGCTTTGGTGCAGGCACATCCTCCTGTAGAGATGAAGAAGGAAACCTGGTGACAGATACAGACAGCGTGTTGAGGATCTGAAAGGAGCA